AAAGAAGAAGAAGAAGAAGAAGAAGAGGGATTAATTTTTTTAACTACGACCCACTATTGGGGTAGAAGAAGAGTAAGCAAGTAAATAAGTAAGTAAATAAGTAAGCGAGCAAGTAAATAAGTAAATAAGTAAGTAAGTGTGATGCCAGATACGACGATGGCGTATTTAAAGATTCGCAAAAGGAGATTCATGAACAGAATGATACGTTGATATGTTGATCAAAGGACTCAAAGGCTTGTGATCGGAGAAGACATATTAGGAGATAAAACAAAATAGATCTACGTTTATGCTACGTATATAGACGTACATACAATTTCAAAGATTTCAATTCAATTCGAACGGTAAAAGCAAGGAAGGAAGGAAGGAAGGAAGGAAGGAAGGAAGGAAGGAAGGAAGGAAGGAAGGAAGAAAGGGAGGAAGGGAGGGCGGGAGGGAGGGAGGGAGGAAGAAAGGTAGGAACATGATGAACGAGATGATATTGATGTGAGCCATAACATTTCATTATTCCGATAAATATGACGAGGGGAATGTAAACGAGTTTGCGACATTGATTTGAAATTCGACGAGAAGAGGAGATAGGGGAGACAAAGGAGACAAAATAAGAGAAAAAAAAAAATAATAAAAAAGAATAGAGAGGGATCGGAAGAAGAGGAGGGAAAGAAGAAAAATATAGGGAGGGAAAGGACTTCGACATTTTTCGAAGTATCAATGGCGGAGTAGTACAAAACGACGACGAATCGATTGTATATGTTGTAACTGTTGTATACTAAACGATCAACGCGAGTCATCTAGATAATATCTATCGGATAGAAAATTCTTTTATTATTCGCGAAAGGAGAAAGAGGAGAAGGAGGAAGAAGAAAAGAGAGAGAGAGAGAGAGAGGGAGAAAAGAAAAAGAAAGGAAAAGGAGAAGAAAAGAAGAAAAAAAAAAAGGAAACTAAAATAAATCTTCAAGATGCCGCGCTGCTACATGGTTAAGAAGGCCCTGTGCAACAAGTACATTACCAGCGTTGCCAAAGGATTCGAAAGCTGGGGTCGTGGTAGAAACACGCCATCGCCAACGACCATACAGTTGCCCGTTTCGCCCATAGAAGGGAGCGTTGCACCCACTGTTGCGCAAGGTATATCCATCTATTATTACTTATTTTACATATATATATATATATATATCTATACGATAATAATACGAATTATTTTCCAATAGATTTCTTTTTTTATTTTTAATACGCATACACACTTGGAAACATGGAAACATTTGTTATTAGTCATTGACAATTATTTATTTTTTTTCTGTCATTAAAGACATTAAAACTACGGGGACGCCTATCATCAACGAGAACAACAATTCGAAAGAATCTACGTGCAAAAAGGAAGATTTTGGGATGGGAACTGCGTCGGATTCACCGAAGTTGCCTCAAATAGAAATGGCAACGACGGTGATTGCTTATACGACATCGGCGGCCCCTAACGTATCAACGCCTTCGTCGTCGTTAGAATCCAATGGTGTCAGATTAACGACAACGACAACGACAACAACTACAACCACCGCAATAATATTGACGACCGCTACGACGACGGCTACGATGACGTCTACGACGACAACGGCGAAGACGATGATGACAACGACAATGACAATATCGAGCATGCCAACGTCAAAGACGTTAGAGCTTGTTACGGGTAATGTTGTTTCGCCGTCTCATCGTTCGGCACAAAATGATCCATCCGCGTCCTCTACCTGTACGTCTACGAGATATACTAACGAGGACACTACGACGGAACATATTAACGAGGATACCAAAATAAGAACGACGTCTTGTTGCAACAACATTATATTATCCTCAAATGTTTCCTCAATGTTCAAAGATCGTTCAGCCGCCGAAACGGAAGCAGCTCATGATCTTCTTGAACTTTCAAGGTCTTTACCACCTTTACCACCACCGAGCGTTGCGATAGGTCCTCAAAGCGTCATCGAGACACCTGCCACGGATGTTCAAGAGATGACAGTGTATCAACCTGTCGAACAACCAATCTATCAACTAAACACGATCGATCTTACCGGTTCGGCTACCGTCTATCATCATCAGCCACAGCAACAACCACCACCGCAGGCAACAACGAGTATCATTTATGAGCCGACAACGACGATCGTTCAGCAAACATCGGGTGGTGTCTTTATACCACTTTCACCGGTTCAAGAGATTCTCTTCACTTATAGTACGCCGTCCATACCATGTACGTCGATTATAACTCAACAACCACAACAACAGCATCAGCATCAGTTACCGATGCAACAACAGCATCAGCAACAACAGCAACAACAGCAACAGCAACAACAACAACAACAACAACAACATCATCATCATCATCATCATCATCAGAATCAACCGATCGAGACGGCGCCGCCATTGACACCACCTACGTCCGAATGCAGCAGCGACATAGAGAACAATAATCCTAATTCTCAACCTAGCCAACGAGACAAGGAAGTGCAAACGGTTACCGAACAAACGGAAATTAAAGCTGCCACTTACACTTACGACACATTACTTGTAGCCGATGGCAGGTCGAAAAACAAAAAGCTACTTTCTCTCCAAAAGACACCGGAAACTGAACCAGCTGAAAATCTGGAAACATCGAAAACTGGCCGTTACGTCTGTTGCGAATGCGGTAGGTATTCCATAAATAAATTTTATTTTTTAATCTTTAATATATTTTACGATAAAATATATTCTTTTCTATCAAACGATTTAATTTAATGTAGGTTCTATAATAATATAAGAATAAAAATTTATATTAATATATCTGGATTGTTCGATGGATATAGAAAGTACGTAATCGCATAATTTCGCTTATATCTTCGAAATTGAGTAGTATAAGCACGGCGGACTAGCTAATGAGTTCTATCTGTTACTAGAGGATGGGCACAGCAAATTAGTCTTGATACGTACAATGCGATGCAGTAGAACGTGCTGATTATCCTTTCTATTTCTCTCTCTCTCTCTCTTTCTCTCTCTCTCTCTCTCTCTCTCTCTCTCTTTCTCTCACTCCATGTCTCTAATTTCACGATAGCGTAGGCAGCAGATAGGCTAGTCCTTAAAATGATTAGAATTTCTATTGCTACGTGAGCGAATAATATAGATAGATATATGCGTATGCGTGCGCGTGTTTATGTGTGTGTGTGTGTGTGTGTGTGTGTGTATGTGTGTGTGTATGTGTGCATATATATAATATCTGTTAATAGTTTCAAACAAATTAATAAATTTTTCATAAATTTTAAATTTCTCTTCGCACACAACTATAATAATTTTTCTATTTAAATAAATCTCATTATTAATTATTTATATTAAAAAAATAAAAAAAAAAAAGAAAAGAAAAAATCTCAACCACATTGCTAATCAATCTAAAATTTCTCTGAATATTCAAATATCATTAATTAGGTATTTATATCTGATAAAAAATTATTCAAATTATTGATCATCCATTTATACCTTAAAACTTCTTGGAATTATTAAATCGTACAAATTGTTCACACAAAAGTGATCCTACGCAAAGTTACACATTTTCAAGTTAATTTAAAATACAAATTCTATCATATAAATTACATATCCTATATATATATATATATATATGCACAAATATATAAAATATTATATCTGTAATGTTATATCTAGATATCATATCTGGATATACATATATCTATTTTTCGATGTTCTCAGGTAAACAATATGCAACCTCGTCGAATTTATCGAGACACAAGCAAACCCATCGCAGTATCGACTCACAATCGGCGAAGAAATGCATTCATTGCGGCAAAGCGTACGTTAGTATGCCAGCTTTGGCGATGCATATGTTAACGCACAAATTGACCCATAGCTGCGGTATTTGTGGAAAAATGTTCTCAAGGCCTTGGCTACTTCAAGGTCATTTACGTAGTCACACAGGTGAAAAACCATATGGATGTGCACACTGCGGTAAAGCATTCGCCGATCGTTCCAACTTAAGAGCCCATATGCAAACTCATTCGGCCGACAAGAACTATGAATGTCCTAAATGTCATAAGTCCTTTGCCCTTAAGTCGTACCTGAATAAACATCTCGAGTCGGCGTGTCAAAGAGAGAACGGCGATGAAAGTAGCAACGACGTTGACACCTCGCCATAATAAATATAATGTGCCTGAAAACGAAACAAAGAATTAAGACGACTAATATTTCATAAAATAACGACTACAGAAACGTGACAAATTTCGGTAAGATTTTATATTTTTCTTTCGAATATATTATAATATTATCTTACCTTAAATCTCTATACCATAGACTTATTATCATAAACTCATTATCGTAAATCACGTTTTATATATATATATATCATATTTCTATATATCTATGATATTTATATATCAAAAATTATAAATATGCATTAAATAATATATAAATAATGTCAGAATTTCTAATAAATAAGTACTTTAATAAATTTTTTTCTGTATTTAAATATAACATTATATTTAAATATATTTAATATTAAATAGTTAAATATAATAATATATTTAAATAATAATAAATATTACAAATTCTGACATTTTAGTTGATTAACAATCTCAAAATATACATACATAGAATATATATAATTATATCTTATAAGTAAGAGATGGTATTATTAGAACATGCCATTTCGTTATATATATATATATATATTTACACTCACATACGCACATTCACACATACATACATAACATTAAATATACATACCCATATATATCCTTTTCTAATCAGAACGTTCATCGTTTCCAGCACATGCCAGTGAAAGAAATGAACTACGATATTCAGGGCAGGCGAGAGATATGGAGATCAACGGTCTAGAAATAAAAAAGAAAAAAAAAAAAAAAGAAGACAAAAAAGGGAAAAAAAATGCAAAAAGGAACACGATCAAAGGCCATCACAGATCCGAATATATAGTTGTAGTTTTATGCAACTAGGGACACGCGACTTACCATAGGTGAACCAGAAAGGGGATTCCAATGAGATCGTTGTCCCCGATTAAACAATCTTGACTAACAAACTCATTTCTATTAGACCATACATATAATCAAAGCAACAATGCAACAATGTAACAATGAATTCATTTTTTAAATAGAAAGAGAGAGAGAGAGAGAGAGAGAGAGAGAAAGAAAGAGAGAGAGAGAGAGAAACAGAGAAAGACAGACAGAGAAAGACAGACAGATAAAGATTGTTGTTTTCGATCGCTTCGCTTGAAAACTTTCTACAGCTGTTAACTGCATTCGCGTTCGCTTTAGTTCCAAAGCGATTACACAATAATACGTTTCCTTCTCGAAGAGTTTCGCCGTGTTAAGAAGAAGCAAAAGAAGAAGAAAAAGAAGAAGAAGAAGAAGGAAAGAAAGAAAGAAAGAAAGAAAGAAAGAAATCCAAAAAAAAAGAAAAGACGAAAAAATTTACGAAAAATTTTCCTTTTATCGGACGACGGGGTACGGGGTTACTTGCGTAAGGCTGGGAGGGCTGGGGGTAGGTTACAGACAAGAGCCCAGAGAGAGTGAGATGGGGTTGGATAAATTTTTTTATACATATATACATATGTACACGAGACACGCGTACGTCACAGAGAAAAAGCGTCTTCTCTTTTCTATAAGTCTACTCTTCGACGTATGTATCTCGATCGAATCTGCAAAAGACAAAAAATAATATATATATATATATATATATATATATATATATATATATATATAAAGTTTGGAAATCATTATATAAAAAAGAAAAAGAAAAAAAAAAAAAAAGAAAAAACTCGGAATATCATCGAAAATAGAATAATCATGGGAGATTACGTGAGATTATCGTGAGAACGTTGTGATAATGAGATATAGAAAAAAAAAAAGAAAAGAAAAAAAAAAGAACGGAAACAAGAAGAAGAAAAAAAAATAGAAAATTGATCTATAGATCCGTAGGATCGAATTCACAGACCAGTTTCGAACTTATTATTAATATTTCCTAATATTCGAGAAATTTTATTAATTAAGGCGAAAATGTGACCGAAAATGTACGATGTCTTGTACATACGTACATACATACATATATACTTACGTACATACATACATACATACATACATAACATACATACGAATACATCTATGCATACATGCATACATACATACATACATACATACATACATACGTATGTACATACATAAAAATTACGATCACGTTTGTATTCGTGAAAATTTATAGAAAGGGAAATTTATTTTGAAACGGTACTAACGTTACGTATACATATATACATATGTAAGTAAGTACATAAGGTCAAACAACGAGAGAACTGACTTTGGAAAATCACATCAGCCTGTATATGTATATATATAATACATACATGCATACATGCATACGTATGTTTCTGGTGAGAAAGGATGATAATATCCGTTCATAGTAAACACATCTGTTCTATATGTATTTGAAACGGAGTCAGTATTCTCGTCTAAATCTTTTCAAATAAATTTCCCATTTATCATAACGTATTCGCGATCATTTTGATATCTCGAAATTAACGTCCTATGAACGAAAAAAAAAAGAAAGAAAGAGAGAAAAGAAAAGAAAAGAAAGGAAGTTGAAAAAAAAATGAAAACGAAGACAAGACAAAGGGAAGGAATTAAAAGAAGAAGAAGAAGAAGAAGAAGAAGAACAATAAACGAACAAACAAAAATATATATATACATATATGTATGTGTGTGAATATATGTATATATATATATATATATAATATATACACACGATATAACGAGAAACCGGACATGAGAGAAATAATAAAAAAAAAAGGAACAAAAAATCGTTGCAATATTATCGAGGGACCATTATTTTGTCGGTAACGAAGACGAAGAAAAGTAATTTAATGCTTCTTTTAAAAAGCGTCGAGGGAAGATAAATAACAATAATTGAATAAGGAAAAGAAAACAAAAAAAAACAAAAACAAAAAAAAAAACAAAAAGAGAGAAACAACAACAAAAAAATGGAAAAAAGAAAAAGCAACAAAAAAAAAAGATACGAAAAGGAACAAGAAGAAAAAGAAAGATAAAGAAAAATGCCAAAAAAAGAAAAAATAAAGAAAAGCAAGAAAAAAGGATACGAAACGAAATATCGAAGAGAGAAAAAAAGTACGAAGTTTAGAAGAAAAAGAAAAAAAAAAGAAAAAAGTGAGAGAGGGGGTAGATGGCAGAGAGAGAGAGAGAGAGAGAGAGAGAGATCACGTAATGATCGTATTTGAATACAACCAATCGGCAGCCTTAAAGGGTTAAAATAGAGTCCGAGAATCTTCGAGAGGTTCGCGGCAACGATCTTCTATATAAGTCCTTTCCCCTCCTCCTACTTCTTCTTCTTCTACTTCTACTACTTCTACTTCTTCTTCTTCTTCTTCTTCTTCTTCTTCTTCTTCTTCTTCTTCTTCTTCTTCTTCTTTTTATTCTTCTTATTCACCTCTCTCTGATCGCGCCAGATTAAGGGTATAGAAAATTTTTTTCTTTTCTTTTCTTTTTTTTTTTTTTTGTTTTTTTCGAAAGAGAACATTCTTAATATAACTCGTTATATTAAGGCATCTCGCGAGACATTTTCATCAAAATTCGCGCTAATTGGACCACCTGTTGAACGTATAAATGACTATTCAGAGGCAAAAGGGTCACTCGTTCTCTACCCTGAATAATAGAACATCATTTCCTCTGCCTACACAACTACTCGCACAAACACACACAAACACACACAATACGTATGCACATGCATATGTCTGTTTGTATATCTGCTGCGTGTGTGTATGTGTGTGTGCGCTCTCGCGCGCCTGTGTGTGATATTATTAATAACCGATTTCCACATATACATATACATATACATACACATACATATACATATACATATACGTACATTCGTTTTATCACTTATCGATTCTTATTATTAATCATCGAGATGAAGAAGCGCGTTTATATCAATTCGATTCGATTAAAATTCGAAGTGTTTCTTTTTTTACGCGGATACAACGTATGAGAAAAAGAGAGAGAAAGAGAGAAAGAGAAAGAGAGAGAGAGAGAGAGAGAGAGAAAAAGAGATATATATATATAGAGAGAGAAAGAGAGAGAGAGAGAGAGAGAGAGAGAGAGAGAGAGAGAGAGAGAGAGAGAGATAGAGAGAGATAATACTTTATCTACACGAGGTAACGAAGAACACCAAAGGAACATAATTCATGATATTTCACCAAGTATTTACACGAATGAACGTACACAAGGCAGACCCAAGTAGATTAAATTGAAAAAGGAATAAAAATGAAAAGAACAAGGAGAGAAAAAAAATAAATAAATAAATAAAAAGTAACGATACCACAGAGAGAAAGAAATAATCGGGTGTATTAGTGCAATTTGTAATTGATATAGTAGAGAAAAAAAAAACAAAATAAAATAAAATAAAATAAAATAAAATAAAAAGAAAATAAAATAAGTGAAAAAGAAGGAAAAGGAAAGAACGTACGCGAGAGAGAATATGGAAAATTCGAAAGAAAAAAAAAAAAGAGAAGAAAAGAGGAGAGAAGTAACGATACCAAAGAGAAAGAAATAATAATCGGGTGTATTAGTGCAATTCGTAAATAATGTAAAAACGAAAAAAAAAAAAAAAGAAAGAAAGATTAAAAAAAAAAAGAAAAAAAAATGGATGCACAGAAACTCTAAGCTCTAGTCAACAAATTACGCTTGATTTGTATAACTTTCCTAGTTGCCTATCATCGGGCTCATGTAATTGTATAGTGACTTTTTTTATTTTATATTAACCGTTCTCTTATTTCTTACACGCGAAGCGTTCTATATATGTATTATAGAGATATTTTGGTACTGAAGATTTTGAACGTGCGTAATGTAGGGAAAAAGATAAAGGAATTAACGTAACAAAACGTAAACAAAACGAAATAAAATAAAAACAAAAAATGAAACGAAGCGATGCAAAAAAAAAAAGAAAAAAAAAACAAGAAAAGATATCGGAAAGAAAAGCAAAAAATAAAGGAAAAAAGGTTTTTTTTTTCGTATAAATTAAAGATGAAAGAAAGAAAAAAAAATACAAGAAGAAGAAAAAGAAATTAGGTAGTGATACGTATGTAAGTACATTGATATATATATATATATATATATATATGTACTATATTCGTACTATATTCGTTCAGACCGAACTGAAGCGTGCTCGAAAATTACGAAAATTAATGGGGCAATGTGAAATGGCACCGTTAGCAATTTTATTCAGTACAAAACCTTGGACGTCGAGTATTTGACGCCATTAGTCCTTCACCAATGTTCCAACGACCCCTAAAAACCCCCTTCGAATTATCAGGCATCTTAATTCAATTACTATATAAGAAATAACTTAATTAATTTCATTCGTTAACTTTCTGTACACATGTATGATCTAGATATATGTGTATGTCTATACACTAAATAATACCGATAAATACATACATACATGTATGTACATGAGACTAAATGAGATTTATATACATGGATACGTAAATGCACACTTCTACACACACACAGAGACATATACATGCATAATTATACACACACACACACACACACACATATGTCCTAAGTGCTTATAAGATTCGTGATATGCATCATTACTACGTAATCCTTTGTCAATATATAAGGAAAAACATTTCCATTCGAATGCTTCATATAAATATACATAGGCTATATGAACTTTTTATTAACAACAACAACAACAACAACAACAACAACAACAACAACAACAACAACAACAATAAGAACATAGAAAACAACAAGAACAAGTAAAAAATATTGCGAAGCCCAACAAATCTGATCGATATTTGTGAATTGAAAATAACCAAAAAAAAAAAAAAATAATAATAATAATAGACAGAAATAAAATGAAAGAAAGAATGATAGAAGAAAAATCTATGAGGAGAGAGAGAGAGAGGGAGAGAGAGAACAAAAAAAGATCACACTTTACTTTTATGCCGATT